GAGTCTGTGATAATGTCAGCTTTGATTTGATTTTGATGTTTTTGTGTGTTTGTTCAAGGGATTCTAAGATGATTTAGATTTAGGTACAACTACGGCCACTGAAATATAAAATATTTTAATTATTTTTGTGTATGTATAGGACTGCGTTTATAGGGTCTGCTGGTATTATACATACATATATCATATCATCCTCATTCGCTTCCTCTTCCTCAAAAAATATCCCCATCCTCATCCTCACGATTTGTGCTCGAAACTCCCTCTTCCTCCTCCTCTTCCACATAATCACTTCCTCAACAACCCTAGTTCACTTACGCGACTCGCTTCCTCCTTAGCTAGTATGACTGCTTCGCTTAAGGAGGAGACAGTATCCCAGTCCCCCTCCACTCCACTGTGACCTCCGGGCGGTCCTCGCAGTGATGACGCCCGGGCGTTACCCCCGCCCAGTTAGAAACTGGAAACTTCCGTGTACGGTGAGCACTTGCGACAGGCGGTAGGTGAAGACGCCGTAGCGTCTCTCAAGCCTACTCAAAAAACTTACCGCTGCAATGACAGTGAGCCCATCAGCCATCGATTGCGACAGTCGCTGCTGCCATTCCGCCATGAGATTTCCCTGGAGCTCATCCCGTCCGTCACGCAATAATCAGGCGCGGTAGTGTACTTTCGATAAGGTAGGTATTAGGTAGCGTGTAGCGTATAATTGTATATTTTCAACCGACTTCAAAAAAAATGGTTGCCTGTAAAGTCGTTTTTACGGGCGAAGATTTTACGTGACAACGTCTTTTTCTCGGTAGAATATTTATTGATATGAATATAATTAAATTGCACAATAGGAACAAGGAATTGAATGAACTAGTGCTGCGCGCGCGGCAGACCGATCATAGTTGAGTGGGAGAGAGACGCAAGGCATTCGGCGGGCCTCTCTCTCGTTCGGTGACTCATCGTAACGTTACCGAGCGTTACACTTTTTCATAAGTGACTCCCAGCCGCAACCTAATTTAAGACGTTGTCACGTCAAAAAA